GGATTGATTATTATTTGCACTGTGGTTGCTAATAACTGAGCATTTGCATGTAAATTTTTTTTATTCTCTTGCCAAATGGCAATAACATTTACTTCTACAACCTCAAACATGTAACCAAACAAAGACACATTTAAGTTCTAAGAAACGTTATTTAACAAAACTCCAATAAAGAAATTCAGTTGATCATTCACTCAACCATCAAGTAGTTTATTTCTCACTAGGAAGATGAGAAACAACCAGAAGGGAGGTTGGGACAGGGATTTTTGGAATTGAGAAGGTATAACTAAAAAGAATATTTAAATTATGTCAAAGGGAAACAAAGTGTTGTTTCCTTTCAAGATCATTTAAAGGGGCTTTGTCTTCTATTAACAATTGACAATTCCTCTTAACTATTTGAGTACACGTGCAGTGGCTTCCCAGGTGAATTCTGTTCGTTATCATGAGACTGTGTTATGAAGTAGGCATCACAGGCTCTTCTCTAGTCTACTGTTGTTTCAGGTAAAATACCAGATCCATTTACTGCATCTTTTTCTCTAAGACAAGCAAGCAAACAAACAAACATAGAAAAGCATCCTCACCTAGTTAGAACCACTAAACCCCAGAAGGAGAATAAAGATGCCTCTTTCCTCTTAACCCATAGCTATGTCAATATCAGCTTCCATGAAGACTAAACTCGGTCAACCTAATCCTATGTGTTTGGTGTTTCTGATCCTTTGGACTGCTCCCATTCTTTTTTTTTTTTGAGATGGAGTTTCGCCCTTGTTACCCAGGCTGGAGTGCAATGGTGCAATCTCGGCTCACAGCAACCTCCGCCTCTTGGGTTCAGGCAATTCTCCTGCCTCAGCCTCCCAAGTAGCTGGGATTACAGGCACGCGCCACGATGCCCAGCTAATTTTTTGTATTTTTAGTAGAGACAGGGTTTCACCATGTTGACCAGGATGGTCTCGATCTCTTGACCTCGTGATCCACCCGCCTCGGCCTCCCAAAGTGCTGGGATTACAGGCTTGAGCCACCGAGCCCGGCCCTCCCATTCTTAGCTCTGCTTGTTCTGTCAGTGTGTTTCTGTATTTTCACCACTGTTGTGGCTTTCTTTTTTCTAACTCTTTCTGCCTCCAGCAAATCTCTTCCTCCCACCTACCCCTATAATTCTCCTTCTTCATCCTTTTGAATGATTAAGGCTTGCCCATTTCTGTATCCTAGGGGCTTAGCACATAATTAATGAAGGTTAGGAGACCCTTGTTCAGTTCGTAGAACGTGGGATGCTGGCCCAAGATCTTCAAAGACTAAAAGTAGCAAACAATTTTGTAACTCAATCTGTTTGGGTATGATAGATATAATCTTCTAAATATTTTTATTTACTTATACCCTGTATTCCTAAAGTTATTTTGACCTTTTCAAATTACTTTACCATCCTTTGCCCCACTGGATTTGACTCTCACATGCCTATGGAGAAAGCAAGGGAATTATTATTATCCCATATTACAGTTAAGCAAATTGAGACAGAGATTAAGTGGTTTTCTTTGTCTCTGTCTATGAGTGACAGCTGAGACTAGAATCTGTACTGTAGTTCTATATGAAGTGGAATGTAAATATCCTTCCGAAACTATAGGTATATAAATTATATATACATACACACATATATAAACTATATATACATATATTTGTGCTTATTCAAACATAGTTTTTTCATAGAAACATAGCAGTCTAGAAGTATGTTCCAGTTTGGCTTAAGTGTTTTGTATAGACCCTAACAGTCATGTACTTATTATTCAGACTTGAAAAGGCTGTGGATCTAAAGGTTGTTTACTAGTTACTGAAAGAAATCTTTCTTGCATTGACTTACTTTAGTAGATGCTCTTTGCAAAGATCAAATGTGTTTGGCACCATATTATATGTTTCAATGAGTGGAGAGGAGGAAGTTGAAAGGACATAATTAATTATAAGACCAGCCTCAAGATTTCTGTGCTTAAAGAGCTTTTCAGCCCCAGGGAATTACTTCAAGCCAGAGGCTAGGATAGGTTTCTTAACTTAATTGCCACTATTTCTTGCCCTAATGAAGTTCTTTTTTAACAAAGTGTGGAGCATTTCTTGTGCTCTAGATAAGGAATCAGAATGTGGCCTATTTACTTACTTCAGTGGGAAGAGAGAGAAGTGAAGTCGACAAAGAGGTATGTATATTTAGAACAACCAACTGTTAATGTAATGGTTTATCCAACAGAATCACCCCCTAAATAATTTGTCTCTGAAGAAACTTAGTATTTGTTTTACTCTTGGGAGTAAGACCTGAAAGCTCATTATGATCCCTACCCAAACTAGTGTGGTCTTAGAACTCTAACTTGCAATGACTTATGTGAAAATGTATCAGCAACACTGAGCCAAATGCAGAAAACAGTTGCCTTGCTGATTATATTTAAAACTCCAAAGCAGAGTCAGCCAATAGGACCAAACTATCACTTAGCTGAAGTTAGGTTTTTTTTCTGACAGTGCCCAACTTCTGTTATTAGTTTCCCTTTCTGCTTTCATGGTATCACTTTCTTATTCTTCCATGCTGTCTTAAGAAGCCCCTGCAGAGGCCTGCCTGCATTGACAGTACTCTCTGCTCTGAACCACACAACTGCTCAGTCATCAAAGCCTACACTCATTTAGACTGTGGTTAAAATATGACTCCAAAGTATTTTATACTCAAGTGTACTGAGGAACTAAGCTTCAAGGATGGTTCGTTGTGGTCTTCTTTCTTCTTCCCTCCCTCTTCCCTTCCTTCCTTCTTTCCTTTAATTTGTTTGGATAGGGAACAAGTATTTAGTGATGGTGAATCAGTAAGAATAGTTTAGGTTATACTTCAGTAAATCTCAGTGGCTTAAGCTAACAAAGGATTACTTCTCATTTCCAGTCAGGTTGTCAGGGTTCCTGTGGTCATTCAGGGATCCAGGGAACCAGGCTGGGGAGCAGCTCTGTTCAAACATTGCCAGTTGCTGTGTCAAAGGGAACAAAGCTCTAGAGGGACTCACATCAGCAATAACTGCTTAGAGCTGGACGTGACACATCTTGAGGATCCCTAGAAAGACTGGAGCAGTGTTACCTGTCCTCATACTCATTCCTCTTTGATCCCTAATCATGAACACAGTACTGGGCACAGCAAAGACAGTAAATGTTTATTAAAATAAAATAATTTCCAGAGACTATAGAGTCCTTGGAGTTTGCATTGGTCTGTCTGAGACTAAAATAGATAACAGAACCCATAAAGTTTTGACTAAAATAGATAACAGAACTCATGAAGTTTAGACTAAAATAGATAATAGAACCTATAAAGCTGGAAGACCTCCAGACTCAGGCTAGTGTACCTGAGACACTAAAGATAAAAGGAATCCATAGCCCTTTGAATCAATCTGAGAAGAACAGAATTCCAGGATAGATCATTCACAGCCTGGTCAGTTTCATGAATATCGTATTCTCTCTGATGATTCAAGGAAACAGCTGCCGTACAGTTATTCCTCTTCTGCTGCTTTGTGCATGGTATTATGCAACAAACATTTATTGACTGACTTATTTGTGAACAATCATGACTTATCATCAATTTTTGGAATATTCTTTAACATAGTAATGAAGACTGAAAGGTTTTGGACAAAACAATCTCTTTTCTATGTGGTGGTATAGTGGAGTTTTTTAAAACTTGCATTTCATTCATATACATTCAACTATATATATACACAGGAAAAAAGAAAAAGAAAAAAGAATGAGATATACAGCCCAGGCACCTCAGCCTGCTATTCCATTCACCAAGCTTATATGCTTTTATGAAGGGTGAGATTCTAAAACCTCAGTCTATTGTGATCTTAGTTGAGTGTCATGGTCAATGAGAGCAGCTCATTCCATTGCATGTCCTTCAAGTATATATGGCAAGTATATATGGCAAGCATTTTTCTATGCAACTTGGCCCTTAAGTATCTACTAGTTGTGTCATCTGGCACTCACTCAAAGAGCCCCTAACCTAGTACTAGGGGAGAAACTGGTTATATCAGGGTTCTCTATAATGTGGTGTATTCATCTCCAATGTGGTATAATTTTGACTGTGTGTTTTTTTCCTAAAACCAGCTTCAGGATTTAGTGCTCCATGTGCAATGAGACTCCACAGTGTGCTTGTTCTTTAGTAAATTAGTTCAACCATTGTGGAAGACAGTGTGGCAATACCTGAAAGATCTAGATCCAAAAATACCATTTGACCCAGCAATCCCCTTACTGGGTATTTATCCAAAGGAATATAAATCATGCTAATACAAAGATACATGCACATATCTGTTCATTGCAGCACTATTCACAATAGCAAAGATGTGGAATCAACCCAAATACCCATCAATGATAGACTGGATAAAGAAAATGTGGTATTATATACACCATGGAATACTATGCAGCCACAAAAAGGAATGAGATCATATCCTTTGCAGGGACATGGATGGAAATGGAAGCCATTATCCTCAGCAAACTAACACGGGAACAGAAAACCAAACACCACGTGTTCTCACTTACAAGTGGGAGCAGAACAATGAGAACACATGGACACAGGGAGGGGAACAACACACACAGGGGCCTGTTGGGGAGTGAGGTTGAGGGAGGGAGAGCATTAGGAAAAATAGCTAATGTGTACTGGGCTTCATACCAAGGTGATGGGTTGATACAGCAAACCACCATGGCACATGTTTACCTATTTAACGAACCTGCACATCTTGCACATGTACCCCAGAATTTCAAATGCAAAGAAGAATTTAAAGAAAACTAGATACCAACTGTGGAGACTGCTTTACCTTCTGTAGTCTTCATGTTTTATTTTGTTCGAGATATTTTGCTCTGTCTGCTTTCCTTACATAGGTCTAGAATTCTGTTGAAGCCTGTGTATGCATTTCGTTACATATTGGAAGATTGATTAGCCATACCCATATGTGGTATTTCTGCTGCTTCTGCATGTCACAAGTGGGTTAACATTGGTTCTCCATTCTTTTCTTTAGAGTGCCTACCGCATGTTTACAAACAACACGTGTTTGAAGCACATGATCACCAAAGTCCGGCGGGACACCCACCACTTTGAACGCTACCAGCATAACCGGGACCTTGTGGGATTCCTCAACATGTTCGCGAACAAACAGCTAGAGCTGCCGCGGGGATGGGAAATGAAACACGATCACCAGGGCAAGGTAATATGAGGAAGATGCCTCAGGGAGTGCCGAATGCCTGTGGGCTGCTTGTGGCTTCGGCACTTGGCACTCCCCTTCAAGTGAGGGCCAAGACTCTTTGTGAGGTGAAACATTCCACCTCCTGTTCAACTGAAACCTGGACAGCAGGTTGTTTGTGACCACAAACAGTGACTGTGCCATTCTGAAGGGAGTGCCATTGTGGAGGGAGTGGAGGGAGAGCTGTGAGGCTGGCAAAACATTCACTTCTCCCTGGAAACCCTCCTGCCTGTCATCTCTCTTCATGCTCTGCTGATTAGAGAAAAGGGTTCTTAGGCAGTGCTTCCTTCTCCCGAGTGATACAGCTTGTGTTGCAGATATTTGAATAAAAAGTTGTGGTATTGTTTAGAGAAGGTGGCTAGGAGGTCACGAAGCAAGCAACTGCATGACGTGTGTCTTTGTGACACTGTCTGGGCTCGGGCCTCAGTCTTATTGGTTCAGAACCCTGATTTTGTTGGCACATTACCAAGACTCAATGATTGATCAATTTATGACAAGAAATATGTAACTGTGCAGCACAGGCCAGAATAGCTATATCTGTACTTCCTCTGTAGATGGATGAACCAGAAAGCCTGGTTACAATCAGGAAGTCATTCTATGAGTAAGAAATGAGAATGAGAAAGTTAGTGCTAATTATAAGGTGTTTTTAAACTAAGATTGAATTTTTATTTATTTAACTCTTATATAGCACCTACTCTGAGCTGTGAAGCATCTAACCTCTTTATAGATAGAAGGTCCTCACCACAACTTGATAAAGCAGTACTGTTATTATTTCCATTTACAGTTAAGCAGCCCCAGGTTCGTTGACTTGCCTGACATCACAGAGACAGGCAGTGGCTCAGCCATGCTGTAGGCCAGCCAGGCTGGTTCCAGGAACCATGCTCTTAACCGTGACTCCAACTATGGAGTAACCAACCTCAGTTTCTCTGTCTATAAACAGTCTGGGAATATGTGACTTGAAGGGCAGGGAAGATTACAATGGCATGATTTTTAAAGTAACAAGCCTTGGAGTGTTTGTTCAACAGATACTTATGAGCACCTAAACAAAATAGATAAGCCAACGACTTTATAGAACTGCCATTCTCATGAATGCAGCATTCATGTCTCAGAGACAGGCAATAGACGAATAAATAAACATACTATTCTTAATATGCCAAGAGCTGATTAATGCAGTGATTTAAAATAAAGCAAGGAATGAGTTGAGGTCTAGAGAAAGAGGAATGGAGAATTTTTTTATAGGGTGGTTGGGGAGGGTGTCACACAAAAGGCCATAGGTGAGCAGACACCTGAAAGAAGTAAGGAGTAAAGTATATCAACACTCAAGGCAAACAGAACATGTAGAGTACGCAGTAAATGCCATTTCCCCCCAAAGTTCCCTCTAGCAATAATACCACAATAGCCTCTTACTTATCCTGAACTCGGCTTCCAGCAATATTACCTGAGAACCTGTAAGCAGTCAAAATGTTTGTTACAAAATGCATGTATTTTAATGCAAGGGCGGAGCCTTCAAACTCTCATTGAAACGACTGACTTGATTTCTGCAAATGTTTTTAATAAACCTCTGATTCCCAGTCAAGAGATTAGAAGTGGCAAGTGTGAAGTTTAGAATAGGTGAAAGAGAATTGGGCTTGTGATTATGTCCCTGGACCACAGGTAAAATGACATTGAATTAGAGTCAGAAATGGGCATGACAAGAAGCCTTTCCAGGGGAAGATAACGGCTTTGCTGGTACTGCGTTTGGTTCAATAGCCTGAGGGCCCAATATCTGTAAATGTTCTGTTGGATGGAAGGGCATAGATGGTCCAAGTAAGGATTTTTGAAAAGTACTAGTAGTATTATACCTGGGTATAAAAGAGTAGCAGCACACCAAGAATTCGTCTGTTCTCAGCTCTGTCAAGACTTTATGTGGAATCATGAGGAGCTGTGTTCATTAGAGAATCAGAGGTCCAGGGAAAACCCAAGTTAAGATAATGGATAATGCTGCATCTGTTTCTGCTCTGTGTTGCACTTTAACTTGTTAAGGCAGGGGTTGGTCCCTTCTTGCCAGTCATAACTTGCTAGACACACTTTAGGAGAGAGGTTCTTTTACTAACCCCTGGACCATGAAAAAAGTTTAAATTAGATTTAGGATACTATTTAAGAAGAGTTGTAATGTATTCTTAAGAACAAGTTTTGTCTCATAGCTTTCATAAAAATTTTGGTGCTTAAAAGGAGTAAATACTATCTCAACCATGTTCATAACATGACTACCCAAAACATACTATTCTCTGGGGATGTTTCTACTAATCTGGGTGTTACAACTTGAATTTGGCATTGTACAGAACCGTGAGTATAGGCTGGTTGATAGCTGACCTCACAATCTTGCTGGCTTTTACATTCCAATGCTATTTGGCATGAAAGACTTGAAGGACCCCTGCCTTGTGGACAAGACAGATTAGCAGATGGACCCAAAAGCTTATCACTTTAGCCTGATCTCTCTGTGTTGTGCATTAAGACTTTAACAAGATTTTTAGCTAAGCTGGACACCTTAACTAAAGTAGGTTTATCTTAGTGTAATTCTCCCATATAAGTTCCTTTCCAAGCAACCAGCTTCAAGTAAATTGAAATAACTTAAAGGAACTTTTGGGGAGGCTGGTGCTCGGTCTCTATTTGCTGTTCTGCTTTGGGCAGCATGTCAGGAGTCCTGTCTCCTGTCTTACGAATAGGCAGCTAATAGGTTTCTCTTCAACCCTGGAATTTTAGCCCCTTTTAATTTAGTAATATTTATTTTAAGAGACAGCATCTTGCTATGTTGCCTGGGCTGGAGTAAAGAGGCTATTCACAGGCATGATTCCACCACTGATCAGCATGGGAATTTCAACCTGTGCCATCTCCAGCCTGGGCTGGTACCTCCGGTTTTAGGCAACCTGGTGGTCTCCAGCTCCTAGGAGGTCACTATATTGATGGGGAACTTAGTGTGAACACCTGATTGACATAGCACACTGTAGTCCAGAACTCCTGGACTCAAGCAGTTCTCCCACTTCAGCCTCCCAAGTAGCTGGGCCTATAGGCGCGTGCCTGGCTGGCCCCTTTTAAAAATGAGTTGCTTTACTTCTAGAACATTTGAAGGGAGAAAACGTTTTTCATGTAACACAACATCAAAAGCTATTAAGTATTCTGAAGTTATTTTCCCACAGTGATGACTGATTTCTAGAGTTGACATAGAACAGGACGTCCTTATCCTCATCAACATGAAAGGAAACGATTCTTAACAGGAATTTTCTCAGGCTGAAATTTGCCTCTGTCTTCTCAAGTGTAACATCTTCCTTTTATGCTTTCCCTTATTTAGTCATTCAGCAACACTTCTGAGGTGTGTGCCATTGTGCTAACAATGATAAAAATTTACCACTTAATATAGCATTCTGGAGTATGTAGCATTGCCCCCGGGCCAGGCACTAATTCATTTAATGCTCACAGCAGCCTGGAGATAGATGCTATTTTTATCCATGTTATATAGAAGAGGAAACTGAGGCACAACATGATTAACTGAATTGGCCAAGGTCCACAATTAGTAAGTGGTGGAATTGGATTTGAACCCAGGCAGTCCATGTCCAGAATCTGTGCTCTTATCCTTCCTCTCACCAGTAAGGAGGATGAAGGGATATCTTCAGCAATTATAATGAAGATAGTAAGGGCTTGGCAGGATGCTGTGGGAGCCTCCTGATAATTTATAAGGTAGGTATTATTATCATTTATAAGTTACTGAAATTTAGAGGTAGAAGCAGGGATCTATATAGAACAATAAAGAGTTTCATCAATTTGGCAATTCATGGAAATGATACAGGTTTGTTAACTGATGAATCTTTTCTCTTCTAGGAAATACGTGATGACTTATGAAGGATATACTGTAGGATTAATGTCAGTGTCCTATTCCTCTTTTTAAAGAATTGCTGGTCTCCCTAAACCATGGTGATCTGACAGAATGGCATTTTCACAGCAGAATTTTTTTTTTTTTTTTGTTACAGTTTTTTGCTGTCCATGTTGTTCTTGATCACTGCAGGGTAGTCTGACCTGGGCTGTTTGCTCCTGCCTTACACCTGTATAATGACACAGAATGCTCTCTGTTTCTCTGTGATGCGTTCTCTATACTGTGGTATCTCAGCGGATTTGTTCTCTTGCTATATCAGTGGATTTCTACTCTGGTGGTTGTATTCTCCATCAGCCATGATCATGAAACTAGGGTTTTAGAAACATCCTTGAAGGCCAAGTAGCTTAGAACTGGAACTGAAATTAGATACATACACTGGCACAAAATCATGTACTTCCTGTGTAAAGCTATTAACCACCCTTTTCCTAGACATTGCTCTTTTACCCTAAATGCCTCTTCTTTGAATTATAAAAGAATGTATGCCTTCGCACTGTTATATGTTAGGCACGGGTCCACTGAAGAGTGACATATTTCTGGCATGAGATACCTGGAAAGTTTTCATAGTAATAGCAGCATTTGAGGTGAGCCTTAAATGATGGGTAGAAGTTTGGTTAAAATAAATTTTGGAGGAGAGAGAAAATAAGAGTGGGGAGGGGAAACACCCAAAGTGAGGGCACAGAGACAGGAAAGCACCAGGTGGGTATTTCTGGTTCCTTTGAAGAAATAATGAGTAAATTTCAAGAGACACGTATCAATTGAATGAAATCAGTGGATGCCACGCTGCAGAGAGTTACACTGAGAGAGTGCTACGAAATGACTTGGATAGTGAGAAAACAAAACTGTGAAAGTGGTTATTTCGAGTTTACATAATGGGCTTATTTGATTTAATTTTTAGAAAATAAAAAGTCTTTTTTTTTTTAACTTCCCTTTAAGATGTTAAATACGGTGTATTTCCCCCGGCCTTTTTGCTTTAGACTCTCAAACAATATTAACCCAGAGTTTTTTCTTCAGATTATTCTCTTTGGGCCTAAATTGAGATGCTAAGAAACTTTGAACT